TTCTGAGTAATTAATGATGAACTAGTCCTAAGAGTTCAGCTGGCACACCACATTCGGTTACTGCAAAAACAAATACGCTCTCTTGTTGAACGATTTAATTACTGATTAATTCGAAAGATTGCTCTTCAACTTCAGATTAATTAATGACCTGGCAGAATATTCAGCTGGCACACCACAAAAACAAAAATGCAACCATTTAGAACTATTTAATTGCTAATTAATTACGCAAACTTTTCTTATTCGCTCTTCAAACTTCCGACCAATTAATGAGAAACTCTTGACGGATTTGAGTTATATAGAAAAAGAGCTTATTTTTAAAAACTCTGAAGCGGGAATTGGCTTATGCTGGAAACATTTTCAATAAAATTCTCAGTGAATAGAGTGTGCTGCCATCTGTAACTCAATTTTCATTTTTTGGAATCAAGCTCTTGATTAAGAAGCATAACCAATATTACATGTTAATGTAAAAAAAATAGTTGGTAATTAATAATTAATTATGTGAAATAATCAAACCACAAAAAAATCAAATGTTTTTAATACTTTATTAAAACATTTAATCCCAAAGTAGGCTTTCGGAAACAATTTTCCACATCTTCAATGGTGTCTACAATAATACCCAAATAGCATGGATTACAGTTTAAAAAACAGAATTATCATGCCCAAAGAACAAAACAGGAAGAGACGACAATGTATTAAGCAACTTTTTGAAATACTGAATGAAATTTCTTAATTTACTGCATAATCAACAATAAAAAATACAAAAATCAGCCGCAACAAAAATTTATTTTTCACACAGAATTCAGATCATTGAACAAAGAAAACTTAATTCACCAACCACTCACATGTGATATGGCAACAGACAAATTATCAGCCACAATCACATCAACACTATTTGGTGTAACATAAAATTATCATTGCTTATGATGATATAGAGAGAAGGGGAAGACATTTACATTACATATCATGGGATATTTTCATTTCACAATCCATTTCAACATTTCTAATTTCTACAAGGAACATTTAATACATTACATGGATTTTCACGTAAAAGAGTGTATAACATATAGCATATATAAAATAGTAAGTATATTATTTTTCTTTAATACTTCGTATGAGTCCACTAGATCACCATTTGGTAAGGAAAACATCACAGACATGAAATATCCTCCGAAGCTATTATCAATGGCATAAGCATTTTCAAACTGCTCAACAAATTATTCTTTCTAATTTAGAAGTAGATTCAAATCGATTAGAGTTCTGAAAATCATGACAATACAGGCATCCCTTACGAACAAATTACTATAACGTTTTTAATCTTGAAAATTACCAAGCCAGAAATATATTCATGAATAATATTTATTTCTTGGGATCTGTTACAACAATTTATGTACACGGTGTATTACAATACACAAAAGCCAACATTTATTAAATGAAAAATGGTGTAGAAGAAAACTTTCCCTCCTCACAAGAAATAAATTAAAAATTGATTTGAACTGTTGAAGAAAATTTTTAAAACGTTATGAAATAGAGAAATAACAATACACAGGAGAAAAAAGTAATTCCAACAAATAAACTGAATGAAACAAACTCCAATGCAATGTCACTGTTACATTAGGACAAACAGCAAATTACCCACACTGACATGAACTCACAATCAAGTGAATATAACAATATTTTCCACAACATCGAAGTCTTCTTTAGTCCATTAATATAATACAAGAAATTATAATTAATTGCTTGTAAGTTACAGATGTTACAAAAATAACAGATAATCCATCAGTTGCCTCAGGAAAAACATTAATCTTCACCATTACTGCAGTCATTAACCTTGGTAAAATGTTAGTGTACCACAATTTAATAAAAGCATTTACAAAAATATCTTGACTTTCTGAACAATATAAACGAAAATATGCATCTATAAAATGACCTGTAGAAAAATGTTAAAGCATATACAATTCAAAATATGTAGATATTTTGAACTGATGCTTGAATATTCATAAATCTAAAATAGGTTTGGAGCCAGTGAATGTAATGGCTGGAAGAGGCATGAAGCCGTAGGTAAAAGAATGATGAGAGTGCTACATAATATTCTCCAGATTTAGTAGACCTTATTTTTCCCTTAAAATGGTCCTTTACAGAGGTGTAGTGAGAGACATAGTTGATTCTGTCAACCCATTGAAAAAATTACCAAGAAAACAATCAAATTTGGCATATATATTTCAACAGAACTCACTCTTTTTTGATTCCGAGTCTACTTCCAAAATAGATAGTAGCAATCATTGTACTGAAGCAGTGCCTTGCCTGGAAGAAAAGGAAAAACTCCATCACCATCAGGGGAGACGTCCTGACCTCTCTTCCTTTGTTTAATATTCTGTGAAGAGATTTTGCAGATGCATCTCAGTTAATAATATTAATACAAAGAGACAACACCAAATGTGGAGCCTCCATATGGACCTATGGTAGATCTCACCAACCAATCATTTCAGTACATTCTGATCCACCATAACATTTATATTTTACGAGCAGCGTTTTTTTTAAAAAAGTATTATTTGCATTATTCAATTCAAATGGATTGAATAATTTTCATACTGAAATTCAACTTCAAAAGTGAAACAAACTAGCAGTAATGCAGTTAAAGCATTCTTAGGTCATACAATCAAGTTTTTAATGACAGTTTTCAAACTATACAATGTTTGAAGGATTTTTAATACATTAACCATTGTAAAAAGAAAAGTTACCACAGATTAATTAATCAGTAGCCTAAATTATACTACAATAAAAACTTGCAATTTTAAGTATTTCATTAGTATTATTTACTATTTATAAACAAAGGAAATCTCACAATTCGAACACATTCAAGATTTCAGTGGGGAAAATTTAAATCATTCTTTAAATTTTCTTCCCTTCTCTTTTACACATTATTTACATTTTCTGCACAAATGTAAGCTGCTTAACACTAAACACTGCAGTATATTAGAATACGATAATACATTCAGTAATATTGTTTTTATCATTAGTATTATGCATTGCATATGCAATTTACCAATTTTTTGGTCACCCTCTTGACCGTCATTAACATTTACATGTACTTAAATAAGAGTGTAAAATGTTATACATTACATATTTGTGATCTATTTTATTTTTGAATGCCACTGAACTGATTCTGTCCTATTTCAATAGAATACAATGGCATTTCAATGGATTATCGCATTTTAATTTTTAGGGACCATTTTATGTATTAACTATTTTAGTTTGTGACCTTTTTGGAACATATTATTCCCTTTTCAGGGCTATGATAGTAAAAATGCAGTGTTATTTACATTTTAATAGCCCTAATTAAAAAATAATATAGTCCAAAATGTTGGCAAAGTAAAATAGTATTCCATTTATCTGATCAACTCCATGATCTGCATAGAAATATTGTCAACAAATGGTTGTGATTTACAACAACAAAACGCCAATGTTTTCTGGAGAACACGTTTTCACTAACAATCGACTTATTATTATTATTTCTTCTATGTAGTAAAGTTCAAAATACGTTCAAAAAGTAAATAAGAGGAAAGGAGTGTGAAAAAAATATAAGTACAGACAGGAAAGGACAAGTGAAGAGCTGGAAGACACGTCAGTGGATTAAATACTAAAGAAAAGAAAAAATTTAGTGAATGAATAAAACTTGCTCTAAATCAACATTTTGTCATGCCAATTAAGAGCTATTATTTCTTTTCAATGGTCAGCCAAAATGCAGTGTATAGAACATTGGCTATTCAATTATTGTTTTCAAGGTTCAAACCTCTGACACATAACACGGAATTGGCAGGATGTAAAATGGGGGCATATAAGGGGACTCTCCATTTCAACCTTCTCTGTCTTCGTTACATTACATCACATTTTCTACGATTCACCTCTATTAATAAGCTCCTTTTAATGCATCAGCCCTGCAACACCACACCTTTAAAATCATGAAGGTGGAAGATTATTATGTCACAGAATAGCACAAGAAAGAGAAATTATGAGGAAAGAGCAAATTCTGAACAAGTAAAATTCTCTTTGGTAGGTATTTTCCTTAACATTCTCATCACTATTCAATGACACTAAATTTGTTTTTGGGCCCTACAGGTGTCTAACTACTTCAATAAATGCAACAATTTTACTTTTTACTTCAAGACTGATCTAAAGATATATCTAAAACATCATCCATATCGATGTCAAAGAAAATTTAATCTTATATACAAAGATCATATCAAAAAGATGGCAAGAATGAAGCTAATATGCAGTTCATTGTCTTAAGTTTCCCAATATGCAGGAAACGCATTGGTTCATAATTTGTGTAAATTCAATATCAACAATTTCTACTGGGACTTCACCTACAAATAGCTACTCCCATATTCATACATGTGAAAAGGATGAGAATCAATCTGACAAGTCTGTACCAGCAGCAACAAGTTGAGCATTATTCATCATAAAAATAGATATGACTAGAATCTAATTCAGTCCGTCACCTGATTGAATTCAAAATGAAGTAATTTAATAGATCACAGAATAAATGAAACTGGTATGTTTTCACTCCTATATGTGGTCTAGTCCTATATCAAACCAAGACCCAAACAATACCAAACAAAACAAAAAAAAGTAGGTAAAAGAAAAAAGGTCAAGGTTTTAGCAAAACACTAATGTAACAGGTCTGTCAAGGTGTCACATCACAAAAATTTTTAATATCTCCAAGGATATTCCAAGTACCATTCGGTACAAAATATTTTAGCAACTTCTGCAGCCCAGATTTTGAAATATTAATTTATAGACATTACTAATTCGTACTAGAATCCAAGCAATTAAAATTAAGAGTTCTGACATACAATAGTCTTCTGTGGTTAGCTTTGTCTTCTTTCATCTGTGATACATTTTAAAAAATTATGTTCTTTTTTATTTTATTTTCTAGCTTATACTTAAATATACTACTAATTTACATTTTTTTCTTTATTGTCAGTAATTTCATTCATTTAAGTATATTTTCAACCAGAGGATTACAAGTCATCTTAATCCTGCATATGCCATGGGTACAAAGTAACAAGTAGGCAGGGGAACCTAGAGAAAACCAGGGGGCCCAACATTTCAAATAATTCCCTCCTTCCCCAATTCATAAACAGAATTCATTTGCATCTGAAATAACTAATAGCATTAAAATTGGGATTAGAAATAAATATATTTTTTATTTCTTTTCAAAGAAAAAAAAAAGTTCAAGGCTCAATTGAAGTTGGGACCTCAGGAAAGTTGACCCAGCTACACTCCCTTCTGGGTGCCCCTATGAGTGTATCAAGGAGATAAATATACTCCACCTCTTTGAACAAACATTTATTTTGAGAAATTCAAATTATGTGTATAAGGCATAAGTGACTTTTATTAAATAGTTATATATTTCACAAGTAACAATAAAAGATATTTTAAAAGACTTTTTTTGAACTTTCATCTTTCTCCTGTAGTGCCAATTAATTGAGGGAGGCACACTAGCATGCTCTTATTTTCTTTGAATTTCCCTATGAACTTTCTTTTCAGTTTTGTTTACTACTTGAACAATTATTGGAAAGAAATTCTATTCTAGATGAATTATCATGGACTACTATGAAATGTAACATGTTGGTAAGTGCAGTGCTTGGTACAGATACAAATTATTCATATTACCTTATATTTGCATTCAGATGAGACGGGCCAATATATTACAGAGATAAAACCTCTAATTTTGTTTTTTGCCTTCAATTAAAAACCTATTGTGTTAACTGGAGTATTAACGACAACCTGATAATAGTAATTTCAAAAGAACCAGATTTTGTTAATTTTATTCTAATTTGGAAAGATCTGCTTTCCTAAAAGAATAATTGATTATTGTTGCAATACGAGTTTACAGTACACAATATTCAATACAGATCATTTAAATTAGTAACTACCTATCTTTAAAGGTTTTGGGGGTATATTATGGGAATTTGGCTTATACAGGCCATTATTTGGGTAACAAAATGTAAGCTCTACATAGTCATACAGTAAAACTCTACATAAGCTACTGGATTTCTTTTGCAAAAACTTGTTAAAGCATTTGGGTAACTTCCATAATAGTACAAAATACCATTACTAGCAAATTCTACTTAAGAGGAGGTCCTTCAGCATTCAAGTTTTTCACGCAGAAAGATATTTGAAACCATTGTAAATCAATTTTATTTGTGCAAGAAGTAAGACTTGCGTACAGCTTTTTCCAATAATGGTTTCTGATGAAAGGCATACAATCCATAGATTAGGCTCCATTGTCAGTAACCCTGCATCACTTGCATTTGCTTTTACAGTCCTCTCCAACTTTGACAGTTGCCCCAATGTTTGTGAAGTTTGGGTCACCACTGAATCAAGAGAGAACACTGGGCACTGAACCTAAGATCTCATTTGCAGAAAGTATACAACAAGATATTTAGAGGCACCACCATACATTGCCCTTATAAACTTTTATAAAAATAAATGCACATCTTAGAACCAAACATTAAGCAAGGCATGGAAATTAGTTCTTATAATTTCAATACCAATATCTTACACAAGGAGACTGCTTTTTGCTCCACATTCAGGTACTCAAAGCTGTGATTGGAATCTATCTCTGAATTTTTTTCTTGATAAAGTACAGTAAATAATGTACCCACAATTTTTAGAACCTTGTGAGCACCTCAGATATTCTTTATGGAATGGTAAGTTGAATCTGTACAATCCTAATAAATAGAGCATGGAAGTTCAAGCATTTTTTTTAAACGTAAAACAGGTAGGCAAAAAGGTATTTATTTTTCCTAAAATATGAACAACAAAAAAAGGCATTTACTCTAGCTAAAGTAGGGATGTAAAACACAGACAACATTGATAATATTAAAAATAATTATTGTAAAAATTAACAATTAAATTTAATAATAAAAAATAAATAATTAAACATTTTTATTCTAACTAAAATTTACATAACCATTTACGTCGAAAGAAACTACCTTTACTTGGTAATCTTGATTGCATGTTACCATCCAATATGAGAACTAAGAATATATTTTACTTGTAATGCTGTCTCTACAATATGATATTGCAGACTTCCCTTTTGGATCTTGAAATGCGATCATTAAAAACAGAATTACAGATTTTGTTCCTCACATTAGTGTAGTCACCAGCATTGAGGAGAGAACAAAAAGGAACTGAGAAGGGTATATTATATACAGAGCTCTGTCCTCAAAAGGGATCTGAGGCCATACTCAAATATAGGATATTCTTCGTGAGCGAACAAATCTGTTAGCATCAATATCAAATATATCAAAAATTTTCACTGGTATCATCTTCCTTTCTCTTTTAGATTTTTAACACAACCTGATAGTGGATTCTACACATCCACAGAAATACAATACATGACTGAGCCTTCATGTTGTCCAGGCTTGAAGGTAGGATTCCAGACAGATTGGTGCAGGGTGGGAAATGGGAACTCAATGATGAAAAAGGTACAAATAAGGGAGAATGACAAAAATTGGCAACATGAAAATCTACTAAAACAACTCCAGAAGTACAATTAAGTGATTCCCATTGTCAAAAGTCAAAATCGTAACAATAATGAAAAGGCATTTGGCCGAACTTACGGGCTCTACTAATAAAAACCTCACTTCACTTGAAATTGTCTATCTCTTATTATTGGTACGGAAATCTCTTCCTTGCATACCCTGGTACACATTACTAAGTACATTTGAATACAATTTTTGTATTTTCCTCAGAACCGTACAGCAAAGTGTCTTTCTTCAGACATGCTTCAACAAATTTTACTCATTATTTTATTGAGAAGAAATGTCTGCTTCGGGTACTGGGAGTTGATGAAGCATGTAAGTGTGCAGTGTTGAAGACTGCAGGTATAAGTCCTGCATAAGGCATCCGATAGTGGCATGGTTTCTCATCTCGCTCTGTGTCTCTACCATGTCCAAACCAGTCTCCCAACCATTATCATATATTTTTCATCATTTACTCATTATCAAACTTTGAAAGTGAAAAGTAATGGAAAACTATCTTTGATTACGAGGGGAGGGCATAAAGGCACAAATCATCTTTGCCTATGGTGGACTGAGTATAGCACCCAACAGAGGTGGGAATACTCCTTAATTTATTAAATAAAATCCAAGTTCTGAGGTTCTTAAAACTCCTTGATTTCTCGGATTTTGAATTCTACACAACAAAAATAATAACAAGTGACCACAATGGCAATAACTTAAAAACGACATTGCATTAGGAGACTTGATAAAAATGCAATTGTGATGAAAATTTCAAAATAGCCTTCACTGCAAATGAATGTGTTTTGTTTTGAGGTTGTTGTTTTTTAAGTGCAATTTTTTGTCACTTAATTTTTCTTACCAAATTACTTTCTTCCCCATTTTGACCCCTCATTTTGGTTCAGAAAGCAACAATCTTACTTTCATGTACAAATAGCAGCTCTGAGGCAGTCTTTTGGTCCGAAAATATCTGTGTTGGATACTACTTTTTCAAACCAACCTCACCTCTATGAGCAAGGATACTATGCTTGCAATTTTTGACTACATGCAGAATCTGCCTCTGCCTCATAACCATGAATAGGAAATTTTCTTCTGTATGGTTCTCTGGATTAATAAGTTTTACATTACACTACGAACAGAACAAAGCTCCACAAGATTCATCTAATCCAAGAGAGACAGTGGAAAAAAAAAAACAAAATTTCTTCATGAGCACCTAAATTGTCACATTACAGCAAAAATCACATATTACTTAAATGTAGAATGAGGAATGTTACATTCATAATATTTTGTTGCAAAATATATATAATTTACACTTAAGTTACTTTTAATAAGTTTAGAGTCAAGGGAGATTAAAATTCTTTTGGAAAATGTTTTGAATGTCAAAAAAGATGTAAAAATGGATACTTTAGAAACTCAACTTCTTCAGGATTCAAGTTGTGGCCACTATTTTTCTGGTACACATTAATTTTTATCCCCCTGACCCTCCCCCATCAGATTAATCTACAAAATATGAAGAAAAAAAATATTTCAAAGTTCGATAATGATGATGATGTCACTCTGGAAGAAAATTACATCCCCCCCCCCACACACACACACACTCAAACAGAACTCTCCGAGGACCAACAGTCACTCATCAGTCTCTGATATTTCAATGTTCCACATGAGGAAAATAAGTTATCCCCCACAACAGCTATTTTCATTGAACCAAATTCAACCATCTGAGCTGCATTACCCATGACCACAGATTGAAACGCTGATCCCCAAGGGTTGCTGGTGTCTCTCCCACAACACTGATGTGATGCTTAACTCTTGAAAAATTGTTTTGTGAATGAAAATGGGATTTCTTTTGAATGATTCTCTTTATACACATTTTTTCTCACATTTCTATTTATTTTATGGGTAGATGTTGAGATCCCTCAGAAGCTGGCATTTTGGTGTTCAGAATTAGCCTTTTTGTTCAGAGCCCTACAGCACATACTCGCTAAGCTGTGATGAGCAGAGAATACAATATCAAGCATCTTTTGTCATTCATCGTCTTGAGTGCTGTGAACCAGCTTGTGAGCCTCACTGGCAGCACACAAGCTCTCATCAAGGCAGCTGCATTGTGGGGTCATGGATCCTGTTCATTTCGATAGAGGTTCTGAGGTTGATAGGCTATAGGAAGAGCACAAGACTATCATCTAATTCAAAATTCAAATTACAAACTGCAGCAAAGCTCTTTATCTCTTTTTACTTTCTTGGGTGAGGGAATACATCACATCAAGAAATTGAAAAATAAATTTAAAAAATACAACAATTCCTGTTTTCTAACAAAATCAAATTTTTCCACGACTTTTCCTTATCAATGGAATCCCCTGCCTTTCTTCACTTCCCCACAAAGTGGCCACCTTGATAAATACCTCACACAATATAAAGTACATTTTAAGCAATAATCCTCTGACTAGTTTTAGGAGCAAGACCAAATCTGAGCAATTTATCAAATGTTTAAAGTCATTTACAATATGTAAAGGCATTTTGTGTATGCCGTTTTTGACGAACTCTCCATTAGTAGGTTTTAACCTGACACATCTAACAATTCCTTCATAAGTAGGAGATTTTTTCTCCTTCCATCTTTATAGAATGGTGCTACTCATTACTTCCTAGAATCTTACCTGTCTAGAATTTCTAGAATTTATAAAATGAGTTCTCCACAATACCAAAGGACACTTATAGGTCTTGTTGCACAACGGTTTAACTTTCCTCGAAGAAAGGTAAAGTAAATTTGGGAAAATTAGGAGAAATGAAGTGAGCTATTTACAATGGATCTAGAGTTCTGACAAATGGCTGTAAGGAGTTATCTCTAAAGGCAGCTCCACACATTCATAATTCAGTGAGTACTGGGTTACTGCTCACTGAATTTTGAATAGTGTGGATGGGCTACTTGCTATTTGCAGAGCGATGAATGATTGTTGCTCGCTCTACCCATTATGTGAGTCTTTTGGACACATCAAAGGAAGCAAACATTCACTGAAAACATCAGCTGTTCAGGATTGGGCGAACTGTAGCTCGCTGATTGGCAAATACCGAATTTGTGGACCCGCCTTGAGAAAAAGACCGATCAAAGAAATATATTGAGAAGGGCTGTAATATTAACGCCATGAAAGAAAGAATATAAATGACAGGATGATAACAATGAAATTTGCCAACAACATAACAAGAACATTGCCAATGACATGACAAGAACATTGCCAATGTCATGACAAGAACAAACTCTAATAAAATATTATCACGAAAATTTCAAAATTGGTGAACTGCAGTGGAGAAGAAACATTAATTAAAGAGTAGCTGTTTTGCTGACATCCTTATCATATAACACAGATATTTCTGTATTTTTTATCATTTGAAGAGCATTGTGTGGAACAGTAGCTAAAACAGCTCTCCCTGAAACAAAGAAATAAAATGTCATATCAAAAAACAAGACTGCCATCAATCCTAAAAAAAAAAATTGACTCTTGTACTTGTATTAGAGCTATTTTGCATAATTCAAAATGTTTCGTCTTCAAATTATATCTAACACATCCATTGTATTTACTCTGAAAAGAAATTACTTTGATATTAAAGTTTTTAATTTGTATGAGATTTATCAAAAGGAGCTCTTGTTCCTGTTTTTGCCCTAAACTGTCCCGAAATATCTGAACTTACAATGATAGATCAATAGTGTTAATTACACTACAATTGCAAAACTGACACTAACACATAATTGTCAAAATTGTCTAATATTAATGTGTAGTTCCAATTTTTAATACATATTTTCTAAATAAGCAACATAATCAAAAGTTGTTGCATTCTCACATAAATAATATAGATGGAATGTATTGCTGGAAAAAAAAAATCAACTTCGAGATTTCTGATGGAAACGTGTGTGTGTGTGGGGGGGATACTGAAAAGGTGCAAAGATCTTCCTCCGACCTGTCTCACCTCTCTAAAGGCTTCCCTGCCACACTACTTTAGAGGGGGTATGGCAAAAAAGAGGAAATATTCCCAAAAAAGAGTAATGTTTCTCAACAAGTTACCACTCTAGCTCTGGCTAACTTTCTTTTATAATTGATCAGATTCGTGGTGGTCGGAAACTTATTGTTTCTTGCCAAATCATGCATTGCAACCGCAAAATCAGTATTCCACCAAGGCATACGGATGTGTTATGGCTTGCCCGCAGACTTCGAGATTGCATGACGGCTGTGCGAAAAATAGCATCGGTGGAATGGGCCACCATGAAATCTCTAGGTTTCAAATATGGTTTACATTTGTTTCTTTTCATAGTGTGTTAAATTAATATATAGGTGTAGATAAGTAAGAAAAGTATATTCACGCTGCTAATAAAGAAATAAAAATCCGGTCAGATGAACAAGCTCGTTAGGGCAGAAGTACCGTAGCGGCCTTCGGACTGGAAGACAGCAGGTTCGAATCCCGCATCGGGCATGGTTGTATTTGTGTTTGCCTATATGTGTGTGTGTTCTGTACCTTCATCCTTCGCTATCATCATATCATCCACAGCCCCATAGTTAACAACCTTGGGAGATTAACTTCAGGATTCAGTTAAAAAGTTGATCCCCCCAGGAATAGAAGAATCCGCATAAGAATGAGCCAAAATGACAGTTCTCTGAACAAGTGAATATCACATGAAATTCAGAGAAATTTCCCTCCGCTGCAACACCTGTTCAGCCATGCCTCTTCGAAAAGTGGTAATGTTTGTACATGGCTCCTGTTAAGACATCACAACCATGTAATTATATTTAAAAAATACTCAAACCACACAATGTTCTTGATCACAGTTGGCCACTTTACCACACAGGAACAAGAAAATTGTGGGCCAGTATGCGTCTGACATTGAAGACACAGTTCTCAAATAAACAATACTTATCGCACAAAAAGTAAAAACAATGTAATGTTTATAAAAGAAAAAAAAGAAAGAAGAGCACAGTAGCATTTCACTTCCTAATTTCAATTATTTCTTGTGGCAAACTATATTTTCATCAGACAAGGACATCACAAAGAGAAGCATCAAAGCCATTTACAAGTTTACAGGAACAAACAGGTCAAATGGGTTGAAGGATGCTCTTTATAAGGCTCTTGTACCTGTTGAAGCCGGATGCACGCGACATCTGAGTTTGCCTATACACATAAAAAAGACGACTACAACATGGGTGCATTAGATGGAAACCAGCGCACAATTCGTGCAATGAATGGCTGCACAAGTGACTGAATATTAACACGGGATGTAATTTTTATTTTTAACTTTTTAATACAGGTTTTAAGAAACAATTAGTTTTAAAAAAAATCATTTTTAATGATGCTCAGTTTGTAATCAGTCACAGAATGTGTAAGGCAATGTTCTGGGAGGTTTTAGAAGAAATAAAATCGTGTCTAAAACAACCCTCGTGTAGCAATAGACTTGTAAAAACTAACCCTTGACATCCACAGAATGCCATTGGGTAAATAAAAGCACCTTTTCTTCTGCTATCACCGAACTACCACCACAGCATGTGGTATTCCCACAAGGCGCTGAAGCTTGAGTAGTAGGACAAAATTGTTTACACAATTGTGAATTTTCCAAAAGGGGAAACTATCTTTCTTTCCTTCCCTCCATTAAGGAGACTATAGATGACACAAACATGTTTTTAACATAATCTCTCATAAATGAAATATAGAATATCGCACATCATCTGTATTCAGCAGCCAAAGCGGAACCACAGTGAGTTTGTATTCAACCTGTGTACGAGGAAGATGAGGCTAATAAATATACGTTCCTTGACAAATCGAAGCTAACAGCTTCATTTCTACCCCAAAAGTGCCGTTGAAACCAAAACAGGCGCCAAATATTTAGCATTCATAAAAATGACAATTGTCAAGACCAATTTGACAAATGTTGGTGAAATCAGCAATGACACTGGAAACCTACCGCACACTGATGTGCCAATGTCACTGTGTGCCAATGTCTTTTAGTGTTAAGTGTCACTACTTCCCAAATCGTGGCTGATCAGTGGCGGTTCACCACATTGTTGCAGTGTTGTAAAACAACCAGAAATTTTCGCACAATGTCCCTTGATACGTTAATGTTAAATAGAAATAACTTTAATCATGTGCAAGTGGTCTTTCTTCGAATGATCGTCTTACCTACATGCGTTATCAGACACTCCTGCAAGCCTACGTGCAAGCTGACACCATCGTGGGAGTTGGATTTCAGCTACAACAACTGGGTGTCCTGGCGTACTATACAAACCAAACTACTACTTTGTATTATTCCATACTCTTACCAAAGTATTGCAAATGATTCCCAACACACACGTGAAGCAGCACATCTCAATCCCATTATAGATTTCAGTCACCAAGGTATATGGAATTAAGAAGATAAGATGACGACGTGCAGGAGTTTTGTGTAAGCTGTTTTGGGTGTGCAGTGAATTACGGTGATTACAAGTAGTCAAACGTCATTAATTTGGTAATTATTAGCTTTATGAAACATATGCGAGTTCTTGACCATGAATTCTGTAAAGTGTTTCCAGGATGCAAAAGATACAAAGGATATAAAAGAACCAAAGACCACTACCAGGTTTAATATAGTGCAAATTGTAACGACAGGAAATAGACTACTTAAGAGGGGTTTTAAAATAATGCTGTTTTATAAATGCGTGACTGAGGATGTGGTGTTAAAAATTTTCTGTTTCGCTTTCAGTGCCTTTTGTTTGGAGGAGTGCTAGAAATGACCCTCAGAAATTTTGACAGGCTGTAAACCAGATTCTACTCAATCCCGGGAAGTCCCATAGTAACGTGATGTGACCAACCATTGCTTTTCAAACTGACACGTCTTTCATTATTTATCCAAAAGCTCTAAATTTTAAACGTGAAAATATTCAAAATATTATTTTATCCAAATAAAATTGCCCAAAATATGTAATAACATTGTTTTGATAAAAATATTTATATTTAAGCAACTAAACAAAATATTTTTTTTTTAGTTGATGTACGATTTGGTACATGAAAACTGTTGAGGCCTTTTTGAATTTCCACCAAACTTTAATCGCTCAAGATTAAATGGGAAAAGTATGTTTTTATCTGAAACTGGGAGCCCTAGAAATGACTTATATCTGCAACAACCTGGTTTGTGTGGCACCAGCCACCAATAGCGCTAATACTAGTATTTTCTGACGCGTAACCCCATTAAGATCTCTGCATATTCGTTTTCTTCGTGCTGCATGACAAATTGGACAGTCACTCTTAATTTCCAGGTAGGCTATAAGCAAAAATAACTGAATATGCTATTCTACAAAATAAGTTAAAATTCCCTCTGAGCAACATGGACGTAATTAGCATTGTCGTTTCGATCGGAAAATTAGCGAAGTTGTAATGCCAACGTCATCAAAGAGGAGGAGCGACACTCATGGAAACTCTGTGATTAAGTTCTTGGTGAGACGTTTGTTCTGCAAATATCTCGTCAATTCACATGCTACTCACACACAATCATGTAGGTGTTCTGGTGTGCGAACTGCTCTACCGAGGTTGCACATACACGCATGCATGCACGCACGCATACAGACACGCATGCACGCACGCATACACGCACGCATACAGACACGCATACATACACGCATACATACACGCATGCATACACGCATGCATACACGCATGCATACACGCATGCATACACGCATGCATACACGCATACATACATGCATGCATACACGCATGCATACACGCATGAATACACGCATACATGCACACATGCATACACGCATGCACACACGCATGCACGCACACATACACGCATGCATACACACATGCACACATGATGGCAGTGTGAAGTTGTGGGATCCGCTAGTCAAGGACTTTGCAATCCCCAAGCATACACGTGGCACATTTCTTAACCACTTCGATTTTAACACTCGCCAGTACTGAGTTGAATCATACACTTAACTGAATATGATTCATTTTAAGGTTGTAGATATCAATATGAACACGCTCGTCCACAATATGAACACGCTCGTCCACAATATGAATGTGTTTAGTCTTTTTTTTTTCTTTGAAAAAGTGTAATATCAAGCCTCCAAATTGTTGATTTTGCAGTCTGGCCTACTAACTCATTGTGAATGCTAAGAACTAGATCATAGTAGCAAATAAGGTGTTTTATTGTCATCAAGCGGTCCAAGAAAAAAGGGTCAAGAACAATACAAGTGCACTATATGAATCACTGCGTACATCTGCTCATCATGAATGTGATGATAATCAGGGCAATTTTCTTGGCAGAGAATATGCTTCAGAATGCCTCAATTCAAAAAGAGGAAACTGCTGTTCAATAATAGAATACACAAGCCACTGAATCATTAATGTCAGAGCCATATGAAAAAGAAAGTTTGATGAGAGGCTGCTCTCTACTTAATTAAGCATTTCAGGTATACTAAGGGAGGAGAAGAGAGTTTAGAACATTGCATAGTGTTCAGTCTACAGTAAGATAAAAGAGTTTCCATGGAGGAATATGATTACAGAAGGTTTCACATGGGAGGGGAGGTTAGCATTTAGGTCGTACAGCAGTATCTGAAAACAGAAACGGGGAGATTTACACAGTGATGGCTTCGGTGGTTAGGATACACTAACCTAATAGGTTGGATGATTCAGTAGGGTTAAAAGTTCACTCCATCAGCTGCAAGCAGAATACCACACCTTCTACTTTAAGATGATTTACCAGTCTTCTGAAGAAACTGCGACGTGTGATATGCACCAGTAACTGTGTGGATGGTAGTTAATGGGCAAAGCGTTAATAAGGAAGCTGATACATAAATTACGACTAGTCCTATACTGAGCAACTGATTCTTCTACACAGCTGCTGAAGAGAAAACGAGTCTGCTTCCCCATGAAATTGCACTGAGCATGCAGAGGAGGTTGAGAGAAAAATGCACCTGGCCTGCAACCTACGGATCTGGTTGCACCATGTCAGGGATCAGGTTTAAGGCCCAAGTCCAAGAATTCGGCTTGTGAACATAGGAAAGTACATACCCCTGTAGGAAAAACTCTGAGGTGTTATGGACATTAGTAAATTCTACAATAGTGCATGAAAAACATTGTGGTCTTGAAAAAGAAAAAATCTATAGCCTCACACCACTGATGCAATCAATAATAACAACAAACTGAAACTACCTTTCAATGACATTTAGGCTTCTGGACAAACGGTAAAAATCAAAATAAATCACCAATAGCGATGCTTAAAATAGTTCAAGTACAACAGATGCAATGGAGTTAATGGCGATGGAAAATAAACACACTTATACCGGATACATTGTTGATAATAAAAAGATCGACTGGACAAAAAGTTTCTGAGGAGAGTTGCTCCTTAAACCAAAAGTACCAGAGTCAATATGGTATATGAGCAAGCATGCACAGACCCCTCAACCCACAGGTTGCCATGCACACAATCATAGTGAACATTCAGCATGCATAGAAGGCCAGTGAAGAAGAAAAAGGGGTGATAAAAGAATGAAGGTGACATATGAAACAGCAAGCAACACGATGGAAAATGGCTAAAGGAACACATTAGAACATTCTCGGCAACCGCCCCCCCCCCTTCCTCATCAGGACATAAACCAACCTACCCTGACGAAGATCAATGTCCATGAAACAATCCCGGCAGTTGCAACATTCAACTTAACAAGAATTCTCACAGATGCAACTACCATAGTTCAACCTCCTGAGGTCAGTTTCTTCCAATCCAGGAAACAGTTTGTTCCATGCCTGTTTGATAGGGCACTGATGGAAGGAGGAGTTGATATTTTTCAACATGACATCATCAAATCCTAGTCCCCCTGTTCATTTCCAGTTTAGCTTAGTATACTGGTGTACTTAGACATGATTTGCTATTCTTGATGCAAGTCTGGGTTGGTGAAATCCTAATATACATTGCAATAAAATTTTCAATTTTGCAATGTTTCCAAAAGTGATTAACCATTGAAAATAAGACACTACATTTGCGTTCATGATATGTTCTTTGTACAATGAGTTTTTTCATTTGCAATCCTTTTTTAGTACCGTATCATATTTGACAATAGCAATTTGCTATTGGAGGATTCTTTATTTTTATATTGGTATATTTAACTATGTTTTAAAATCAATATTAATCTGAAAATTAAAATTTCTCAATCACAACCAACTTTTACAGATTTTTTTACATCTAAATGAGAAACCTTCAAGAATGTTTATCTCGAGAATGGGCAGATAAGACGACTCAATTTATAGATCAAACAACAAGTTTGGTTGCTCCTTCCATTGCCACTTCTTTGGATACTGATTATTACAGTGAGGCATGATACCCTGGTTAGTTCTGTACAAATACATTTTTTTTGAAGTTCTTCAAACACTCATGACACTCATAAAAGAAATTAACATCACAATTCATACCTGCATGTTTAATAACTGTAGGGTTTGTATAATTCTTTTTGGATGGTCCACATCTTTCAGTTGTTTTCATTGGATTCTGAAAATTAATATATATTTTATATAGAAATATCCTCGCAAAAATACCAAATATGGTAGTTAAATAATTACACCAGTCATCAGAAGAAGAGGAATAATTATACTAACAACGTTAATTCCTGGAGCTTTTTCATACACTATCATTGGAAGTGTTGATGCATTTTTCACAGGTATCTGCTTAGCAGAAGATCCAACACATTCTTTCTCATACATCCTTGATGGTATCTGTAAAATACATTTTATGAAGTACATAAAACATTTCAACAAGTGATCGCTTTAAAAGCTAAATCTATTTGTTTTTAAAAGAACAAGGCTAATAGATACTATGTAAGTATACTGCAATAACATTTGATTATGTGGGGAGATACTTTTGTTTTGAGAAAGTGTGTTACAAAAGACAGAAATTGGAAGTGAAAATTCATGAAAAAAAAGTGGTTGTGGCGGTCGTGATCGTGGTGGCGGTCGTGATCGTGGTGGCGGTCGTGATCGTGACAGTAGTTATTTTCCGTGGCGGGTCTCAGGCCATCAGGACTGCTCTTTCGCATGACTATACAAATTCCACAACTTTCCACAAACAAACTGTTTGGCAGAGAAAAGAAATACCACTGGCGACAAAAGAGGCAATTTCATTTTTGTTCAGGAGCTCCTTTTAGGGTTGATGTTCTTTTACATACAATAAATCTACAACAGGGGACAGCCGACTTTACTTCCTCTCCAAAGAAAGGTATACTAAGAATTTTTTCACTCTTACAAATTCATGACTGATTGGGTTTGAACCCGTGAATCCAGGTATACCAGTCCTGTTCACTAACCATTACACCACTGAAGCCAGAAGAAGTCCCTGACTATTTTTTGCCCACTTCCTTTGTGTGCTGACATCATATAGAGGATTAATTGTCAGTGTCAGGATTAATAAGAAATGTTTCATTAAGATTCAGTTCTAGTATACAAAGATTGTTTCCAGATATGTTTCCTGATGTTCTCTGAATTGTGTAACACATATCTGAAGATTTGTTCGACTTCCCAGTATGTTCTTTGTAAAATATGCTAATATTCCATCTTCAGTATGTATTACCTGTGAGTGCAGTATACTAGTTTTACTTCGCAAATTAGGAATACAAACATTCTTATTTTAGAGCCTATTTTAATGCCTTTTGCCTGTCATCTTTTGTCTAACATTTAATCTTTTTATGTGCAAAATTTTAAGTTTTGTGTTCGCACAATTATCCTTGGAGAATAATAATACTTTTTCGTGTATGCCATAGTGCATTTACCACAAGCATTTCCAGTTGTCCGTTCCTGTTTTCCAAACGTTATTTGGAAAAAACAATGCAACAAATGTTACTTGTGCATACAATAATTTGGAGAACAATGAAGGAATGAAAAAAGGAAACTAATATTAATATTGCTTTGTTTTATGTGAAGCAACACAAATTAATGCAACTTACATCATCTCTTCCCACTGGTTTTACTTTTCCACATGTCTTCAATAGTTGAACTGGACGATCTTTAATGTAAGCACCAACAGGACTCCTAATATTAGAAAAATTTATTGTCTTCTTCAGACGCTGCAATTGTCTAGGACAAACTGCAGATAATGGCTTCTGAGCATAAGAATTAAATTTTGGTGTTCTGGCAACATCTAAAATGGAATAAAAGAAAATAATTGAAAGTCAAATATGCATATTAACATTATAAAGTTTTTCTAACCAGAAAATAGCTTCATTACAAAATCTATCCCAAAATGTATGCTAATATTCATCAAACTCTTTAAAATTAAAAGATAAGGATGAATATGAGAAGAAACAATTTTTGAAAATTACAAATGGAAAAAATTAAAAGCGTAAGTCAATGTCAGATTCCGTAGAAATTTTTTGTCGATAGCATTCACTATTCACAGCTGGTATTGTTAGGAAGAAAATGACAAGAAAAATTGAGGAATTAAAAGAATTCCTTTGAATTAATTATCCACATTACCATATCAGTAAGACTTCACATTCTCATCATGTTCACCCTTTCATATGATGCCCATTATGTAATGATTTCAAGAAATACATACATCCTATTCAACATACCTGCATATGCATCATTTAACTCTTTTTGAAAAGGAGACTTCATTTTTTCACTAGATGTACGAATATACTGACACTGTTTCAATCCTCTTTGCATAGGTTGTTTCTCAGGTCCTGGTTTTGGAACAGTAACCAGCAATGCATTGTTCTGAGGTCCTTCTTTCTCAGCATTCAAACTCAAATCATCTTTTCCACACATGTACTCATAGCCATGCTTCATCATCATTTCCATTTCTTCTAAAGTGCCATTCAGACTACTATTTGCACTAGAACTACTGGTCAATGATGATGAACATAACACTGAACCATTTTCTGCTTCTATGTCAAATAGATCACTATCTTCAAATTCTGAACTCTGTCTTTTACTAGATGCAGGTACATCTTGAGCGCAAGGACTGGATTTCATAAAGAAGCCATTTTTAGCAAGTTCTGAAATCTTTTCCGATGTCATAACATGGACATAATTGGCAGAAATACCAGTAGAAGTATGAACACTGGAACCATTGCAAGCAGTGGGTATAATATTACCACTTGGGGATCTAGTTACCAAGTTATCTGTGTTAATATCATATGAAACTGGGAACTCTGGAATATAGAATGGGTGGTTAGGGAAGTAATCAGTATAACCTTTTCCACAACATTCATTTGAATCTGATTCAATATTAATGCCTTTCTTCTTCGATGAACCAGAAGCAGAAGATGGTGTTTTTTGAAGAACTGGAATTTTTGATGAACATGCAATATTTTTGATTGGAGAAGAATAAAAGTGTTCACTGGGAACAGTTACTTTATCAGCATGTACATCAACATTTGAAGATTTATCATTGATAGGATTCTCAAAAACAGAGCTTACATGGTTATCCTTGATTGAATGTTCATATGTCTCATCTGATAAACATGTGGTCAAGTTTGCATTGTTCTCTTTTGACACACTTTGACTACTGACATCAGATATTAAGTTAGAAAGAACAGATTCATGGCCATTTGAAAAAGCTTCAAAATTAGAGAACGAAGCAAGGTCTTGGCAATTCTCCCTTTTTCTTTCATGCACTGCTTCATCATTAGGCAACTGTGATTCACTACAATTCAAACTTACCATTGTAAATTGAAAGGACATTGAATTATAATCATTTGATAAAGATGATTCAACACTCTTGGAAAGATGTGTATTAACAGAACAATCAGTAGTCAAGAAAGGAGAACTAGAAATGTCAGCACAAGTAGATTTACAGGAGTCTTCATTACCATCATGTAGTACAAAAGTGCTTTGGTGATTCGAAATGTTAAACTTTGTAGAGTTGTAAGTAGCATTTGCAGATACCTTGATACTGGATGAATCGTGCTCAATAGAGACGTCATTGGAGTGAGTTCTGGAATGTTGAAAGGCATCATCCTTCAAGCTTGAGTGTTTCTCTTTAGGACTTGACACTATATTTTCAGAAGAAACAGGAAGATAAACTTCCAAGTTTGATGGGGACATCACTGATTTGTGAGCTTCAGTAGATTGGAGTAGAATATCACTGCCCTTTGAAACTGAATCATTCTCTTGAATGAATGAATCTATAATAGCACTATCGTATCCATCATCAGTTACTCTATCACGCTCACTGATAGCAGAAGTAATGGTAGTAATAGTACAAGGATCCGCTTGCTCACGATTACTGAAGTCTGAGATGACTATTTCAGGAAGTTTGTCTGTAACGTTTGAAGTAACATCCTGATCCAGCAAATCAAATTCAGAGTTTGGCATGTTCTTAGCTATCTCATCTCCCTTGCCATGAAAATTCTCAGATTGCATACAATCTTCAGATACACTATTTTCATTTCTTGATATTTCTTTAATGTTCAGTTCTTGTGATAACTCTGAGAAAAAAACAAAAACAAACAACAGCTGAATATTAAATGCAATTTGAGTATTTAAAAAAATATTATCCATTTCTCACTAACATATTTCATTACTATACACTTCATCATAAACATACACCAACATTAAATGTTTAACATGCATAGCTTTCTGACAACATACTGGAGCATTGCAGAAATGATTAAGAGAAAATTTCATTTTGTTACTTTTTGATGCAAACTATAGAGTTTATAAAAAAGGAACAGAAATTCATGTTCTGCAATAAACTGTTTACACAACAATGATTAGTTTTGTCACGTTCCTGTGCTGTAAGCACATCTGAGGCTTTAGTTCTTAAAAAATATAGGAAGAAATGAAGTGAAAACTTTGAAAAGAACATTATATTAAACAATATTTATGGAAGTCGGTTACAACTAACTCCTTTCAATTTATCTATTACGATTATTAAAAGCTTGCAAAATTTTCAGCAGTACTTTTAATATTTGAATATGTGATGCTTTAAAATTATCTGTTTTTTTCCAATATTAGATAATACACAAAAATAAAAGTTCCGAAAGACCAAGGATTAGAGTAGAAAATATTATTTCGGAAAAAAATGCACTGACTTCCGCAAACTCATTGTCCCCAAGTCCATTAAGGAAAATACATTTAAATTAACATCTGTATCACAATCATATTAATCATATTAACATTAATCATTGCATTGACTATCAAAATCCAAAAATTGTAGGCTGTGAGAGTAATTAATTCAAAAGATTAAATATAGACACTTTAAATATTTATATATATAAAAAAAAAAGGTTCTCAATATAATGGTAAAATCCAACAAATTCACAAGAATTGTCATCACAGGCTACTTGGACCCTTAGGGTACTACTTGAACTCACACGAAAAAAGTTTTCAATGGTTTAAAGTCACTTATACATTGCATTAAGAAGATGATTCTCAGTTGATTCCATACGATGACACCACATTGCAGCAACAAATGTGTTTTGCATAGTTCAGTGGTACATAAGCACGTTACAGCACACTATAGCAAGTGTCTGATGTTGAAATTGGTGGTATTTGAACCCTGTAAGATTATCTACCCTATATTTAAAGGTAGTTGATCAAGCAGAAAGTTTACATTTTAGTAATTATGTATTTGTTAATAGAACTTCTATGGCACCATTGTCAATAGTAGAATGCCTTCCTAATTATTTTTTTATTTCTTAATTGTGAGCACATAATCTCAAAAATTTAGGATACTAGGACCCACATTTACAATGTAGGTCAAATAGCTAGAAACTTTCTTTTCTTTTTTAATGATTTAATCGTTTCATTTTGGTATTTAAGAAATCAACAATGGTTATTTTCACTAGCTTCTTCAGTTAACTGACCATTAAGGTACATAAATTCAAAACATTGGCTGAAGTCCGAAATATGCGGTTTATACATACTACCAGCTTGAGGAACGCTTGGCAGCAATTCAATCGGGAATAGTGTCACAAAGACAAAATGAAGCTTCCTTAAAGATAAGTCGACCAACTATACAAAGGAGACCAAAGGCCAAAGCCATTCAGAAACTGGGTCATACAAAAGTGTTTACTAAAGATAAAAAATTAGCCTCTGCGAGGCACCTTGGCTAAATCTGTAATATTGAATTACTTGTTGATGAACTCTATTTCAGGTTTTTTGTGAAGTCTTACTTGCCTATGGATGGCAAAATTGTCACTGATTTGTAAGAATCTCCCAGGGCTCGATTGGTTGAAATTATTTTTTAGGAATCCACAGTTAAAAATAAAAAATTAGATAATAAAAATTACATTTCAGATATCTTTGTGTTTATGGAACATTTACATTCATGTTTGTATCAGAAAACACAGATCATCATAGATTCAGTGCAAATCTCAGTGGTTTTACGTAGAACAAATCGTGTGGGTTCAAGTAACCCACACCCCAGTGTAACACAACTTCGGTTTTCAAAAAAAAAAAACACACACACCACTTTGGGCATGGTGTTAAAAAGCTACTTTTGAGCACTTTACATGTAGCTGTTAGATGCTGTGAACCAAAAATAAATGGGCTGCACCGTATAAAATAAATTCTGCTTAACAATAATGCAAAGAAATCAGTTGCAAAAGTTAAGAGATCAGCTAGATAATTTAAATAAAAACAGTTCAGTGAAAACAATCAAATACATTAATGGTCAGCCGAAAATTGTTGACTTTACAGCCCGGAACAAACATAAATTAAAAAACATGTAACTCAGGACAAGTTAAGGATTTATTGTCAGAATGTCACGAGGGCATCGCAATTAAAGACATTAATTTCAATTAAAGACATTGAAAAATTTGGTTATATATTAGAGAACAATGATATATTTGTATTTACTGAAACTTGGCTAGTTCCAGAGATTTTGAGCACTGAATTTTGCTTAAAAAAATATTGCGATATTTACAAATGACCGTAATAATAATAATAATAATAATAATAATAATAATAATAATAATAATAGTATTTACAGTAGTGGAGGTGGCTTCTTTGTTGGTATTTGAAATGTCTATCATTGGGTGAAAATTGAATGCTCAGTGGATGTTGAAAATTTGTTTATTCACCTGCACTCTGACAGCTTTGATATGATCATTGGAGAGGTTTACTGTCCACCGCTCATTGGAGAGGTTTACTGTCCACCGCTCATTGGAGAGGTTTACTGTCCACCGCTCATTGGAGTGGAAGTTTTTTGTCACACACAGCATCAATTGAATCTGTTTTTACAATACCCAAATTCAAAATGGATAATTTTTGGAGACTGTGTTAGCTGAAACTGTCAGTTTCATGAATTTGTATCAAAAACTGATATTGTAAATAATTATGAAGGAATGTTGATCTCATTTTTACTGATTTAGAGCATTTCTTTGTCAAGTGTTTGGATGAGTCTGTTGTATCAGCAGATGCGTATCATCCGCCACTCAGTATTACTTGTGTTCTTCAAGTCAACTGTAACTTCAAAAATTTAGAGGAATGGAGGTATGACTACTCTACAGCTGATTATGGTTTGATTGTGCAATATTTATGCGATCTATATTCTAGTGTTGAATCCTTCGATGGTGATGTTAACACTTTAGTTACTTAATTTTATTACTCATTGTATATTTGTGTAGATTGTATATTTGTGAATTTGAAACCATACATTTCCTGTGTGGTATAGTAGTGAACTGAAGAACACAATAATTGACAAAAATTTGACCTATGTTAGTTATACACGATTTAAATCTATTCTGTATATGGGATTTTGTTAAAGCTTAGCGAGGAGAGATTTTGCAAATTATAATGTGAATATGACGAGATACATCAATACTGACCAAAGAAACGTTTGGAAATATGTTAAAGGAGAGTAGAGGAATAATATAAAAAAGGAGAATAGAGGCCTTCCAAATACTATGCACTGTGACTCATCAGTTTTTAATGATACCAAATCTATCATGGATGGGTTTGTGAGATATTTTTCATCTTTCTTCAAGATTTCTAATGTCATTCATGTCTCCTTTGGCACTGGTTTGGAAATTGGAGTAGCCAACATCTTGTGCAGAATTTAAAAATTGGAAACAAAGAGCCCAGCAGGTCCAGATGGCATTCCCTCTATAATATTGAACTATAAATTTATTTTCGCACAAATTCTCTGATTGTTATTTGGAAAATCTTTGATCGAGGGCACTTTTCCGAGCAAATGGAAGTCTCCATTCATACTACCCATCTAAGTCTGGTGACACAAATGACATTAAGAATTACAGACAGATTTCCATTTTGAGTGCTATCCCAAAACTTTTTGAATACTTGATTATGGATAAAATCGGAGTGGTTATTTATCTACACCTTCCGGATAGACAATTTGGTTTTATGCCCGAGAGACATATAGAAGTTAATTTGTCCTATTACTCTTGTTATATACTTGAAGCTATGGAACATCAACTTCAAGATGATTGTATATATACAGATTTTAGCAAGGCATTTGACACTGTAAACCATGCGATTTTGATAGTTAAACGGTAGTGGTTGGGGGGGCAGTGAACTGTTACTAGAGTGTTTTCACAGTTACCTGGCTCATAGCGTTCAGATGGTTTCATATAAGAGCATTGTTTCCGATCCTATAAAGGTATCTTCAGGTGTCCTTCAGGACACACTTAGGTCCTCTCTTATTTAACACCTTTACTAACGACATATGTGACAGTATATTGGACGTGGAGTATCTGCTTTATGTGACGACCTTAAAATTTCCATAAATTTTTTAAAATCCTATCTGATGAAGACAAAGTCCTTATGCAAAACACTCCTTATATGTGTTGCGCATGAAGAATGATATTTTTCTCAATATCACGAAATGTAAAACTATAACTTTTTCAAGATCTAGATCCAATGAAATCTCTGATTGTATGATTCATCTCATTCCACTGGAGAGAATCTATACCATCAGAGATCATTGCACAATAGTCAAATCAAACTAAGTCTTGGGATTCTTTAAAAGATTCTGCCACGAATTACACTCAGTAGTGGTCTTGAGATAAGCATCTTAGATTGGTCAAGCTAATATTCATGTACTCTTCTGTGGTTTGTTCTCATTTTTTTATGAAATATAAATCACAAATTGAAACAGTCCAACAAATTTTTCAGAATGTCAGCCTATGGTTTGGGATTGGAAGATCCATATATAAAACATGAATATATTGCTTTGACTCAGCAATGGCACGTTTCTTAACCGAGTTCTCAGAAAGACTTGAATGACGTGTTTTAGAGAAAACTGATATTGGGTGAGGTCGATCGCAAAATCTTACATAACCAGATAGTGTACAAAACACCTCACTTTAATTCTAGAACCAAATATATTTTTGACATTACAAATCGGTCAAATCAGACATTGCAAATCAGTCAACAGTTTGAATATTGATATACGTGAAACAGGTAAATCTGCTTTTTTATCACTAGCGAGCAACATAATCTTGAAATTTGAATGAGTAGGGGTGGTAGAGCGACTGCAATACCAGATATATTTCATATGTTATTATTGAATGTTGCAATTTTTTTATTGTATCTTTTTTAAATAATGAACTTACTTGTCAGTATAATAATAATAACAATAATAAATAGTTCCCCCTTCTTAAATATCCCATGTTCACTTATACAATTACACCCCGCAGCCCTCCACCTTCAGTTCATTTCTGTCATTCAGAACTTTACATCATCCACACACCACATTTCTCTGTACAGAGCTGATTATTATGAGAACAGGTGAGGTATAATCAATATTTAATTGAGGATCACTTAACAAACCAAATTGAAGCTTTTTTAAAGGTTAAAAAAATCCAAGTTAAACCTTTTACTTCTTTTATATCAACTTCAAGAATTGTAAAACGAAAGACAATATTTTTCTTCAAGAAAAATGTGCTAGTAGATGATGACTAGAAAGGAGAAAGAAAATATTTTATATAATTATATGTCAATGTGGACATTTACACATCTAATAGAATGTTATTTCAAATTAAAACCTAGGTAATTATTATTAAGCCAATTTTAATTATAAATCTAAAATGTAATATCATTTAATTCATAAGTTGTTTTTCCAGAACCGGAAGAAGACATTAAAATGAAACTTCAAAAAGTTTTGAAATTAAAAGAAAAAGGTTATACATAACAATAAAATAAATGTGAAAAGTGATCCTTTGTGAATAAAAATTACTATCTTAAAATAATTTTGGGAATCAACATTTATAGTCCAGTAAGTGTTGTTCGATTTTTTTTGCAAAAAAATTAAAACTGTCATTTTACATCAATTTACAAATCAAAAATTATACCCATCAATACACTAGAATATAAAACCACAGCAGTTGTAAAACACTGATCAATACAACTTCAAAAAAACCAGGATGTAATAAACAGAATCACACAAAACATAGAAGTGTTCCGAATTTATTAGAAATATAGTAATTTGAACTTAAAACCTTCAAAAATTTACATCAATAGTCTAAAGAACACTAAAAAATTTCAGTGACGATGGCATCAGGAAAATAATCAGAAACTAAAGGCCCAATAAGAAATTGAAACCACAAAACAGTAAACTACTGCTTCCACTGTTCAGCATTTTAAAGAATTCTCTAATTTATCATTTCTGCAAGCTTTGGACCCAATAAATGAAAGCAAGTGATTTGCATGACAGCTCAACATTGAAAGTGAAAATCTATTCACAACAAAAGGAAAAAAAAACAAAAAAACAATGATACATGGGGGGG